TAAATATACTTATATTGTATACGAAACTGTTATAGATATAGTGCAATCTTCCTTGACCGTTTGCATATTATTCCGTTTGCAAACTGAAATATAGATATATGCTACGTTTGTCTGAAATGTTAGAAAAGTGTGAACATGGGCTTAATGGTTGTCCTTGGGCGTCATACCTTAATTGATACATGACACTAATGTGCTGACAGGCTATTAATGTTCCAGGCAATGTTGTATGACCATCAAGTGGTGTAATAGCTGCCCATATATTTAGGATGTGTCTCACAACGGGTAATCAGTTATCGGCATTCATGAATTCCCTAAAATGTTGCATTCTCAAATTACGTCATTCATCTAGATGTTACATGATATAACATAACGTAGGTGTGCATGTGCCACTCAAAGTTTTCAGGAGATCAGGTTTGATGACACGAATGAAACCAACAAATAAATAATATGCATACACAGTGCCATTTGGAAAGTGGTCAAATGTAACATATGTTATATTTGGGATTACACTTTCTTAGTAAAGAACAGATTCTATAGCTAGTACTTTTGCTTGGTTGAGTCCCATCCGCGCCCGCTGTCAGGCATCTAATCGCCAGCACATAAACCACATAAGTCAGACGCCTAGCCCCCTCAGCTCAGTGGAAGCCGCGGTGGCTGAGCGGTTAGGCGTCTGACTTAGTGTGTCTGACTCTGAGGGTTTAGGTTCGAATCCCGGATGGGACTCAGCCAAACATATGTTAGAATCTGTACTTTACTAAGAAAGTGTAATCCCAAATACAACATATCATATATGTTAAATAAAAACAGATTATCCTGGAACAGCATCTTTATTGGGTACCCCCATAACACCTGTGTTTTATAATGAACGAATATAGCCGTGCATGATTTGTATAAGTTATTTACAAACCTTTTGGTGTTTTCGTGACACAATCGTAGTACATTACTATCAGAGAGCATAATAACGTGTGTCACCGAGGATCGTAACAACTGAATGCTCTAAATACTCCCTCAGAGCCAAAGACATCGTTTGATAACGGAACGATTTTGTAAAGATATGCACCAACCCTTCACTCTGCAGGTCTCAGCCAACGTGTGGTCTTCACGGCTTGAATTTTGTATCAGCTGTTGGCATCAGCTAACCAGTGAGATGTAGGTGGCCTTAGGCGTACAGACAACGGTAGACTAATGCTTAGTCCCTGAATAGATATAATTTTGATAGTAACAAACAAACCTATTATAAATTGAAAATGAGCCCCAGGGAGACCAGAGGAACCTGGGGAAATCTAGACTTGCTTCATTTAGGGCTTTAGCACTGCAGGGAAGGCTAGGCTGTGGGGAAAATAATGTGGTTCAGGGACTGTGAGACAGACTAAGACAACGGGTAGACAGGTTTCTCCTGATCGCCGCATTTTGTCATCAGTCCGTGACTGCCATCGCACGCAGAAATGGACACGACTGACCTGTCTGCTCAGCCTCCGTGAGGTTGGTATCGGAAAGAAGCATTCGCATGTCACTGATTTAACGTTACAGAAGGGCGAGTTTGGATGAGGATGAAGATCATGTCAACTGGACAGACCTGAACTGGGTTCCAGTATCTTTCACTGATGAAACTTCACAGATCGTCGTTCCCGAGTGTGGTGTAGACAAAGATATAGTTATCAGGAGTCTAACCTACCGGTAGTTGATCATTGCCACAGTAGAGGTGGGCGATCATGATGTGATGAAGGATCGGTCCAACTCGAGGAACTGACCTCCGCGGTGTGCACTTCAGGGATTCACGATGTTTACGTGAGATTGTATGCTACTGGAGCAGTTTAACCGGACTTCATCCACCAAGAAGTGTCTGATACCAACTTAGAGCAGGAAGCCATTGTCTGCATGCCTTGGTCAGTTTGGTCCCTAGTCCCCATCGACCACACGTGGAATCCTAGTCTGTCTCACAGTCCCTGAACCACATAATTTCTCCTACTGCCAAGCCCTCTCTGCAGTGCTAAAGCCCTAAATAAAGCAAGTCTAGATTTCCTCAGGTCTCCTTAGGGTTCCTTTTCAATATAAATGGGCTTGTTTGTTACTATCAAAATTATATATATTCAGAGACTAAGCCTTAGTCTAGTGGAATCCCATCGACCTCATGTGGGATCAAATGCAATGCATCATTCTGACTGGTTACATGTGCCCGGACCGACTCCTTAGTTCAGTGGATACAGTGCTTGCCTAGATAGCTCGATTCCCGGTCTCATGATACATGTACAAAACCCCAACCCTTTATGCAGCCAGCACTATGAACCAGCCTTAGTTCGGACGAGTACAAACACGCAATCACGCACGTCCTTATGCACGCACGAATCAGGAACGAACTTTCTTCTGATAAAACGAAAGATGTTTCGTTTTTCAAATTTAAAATCCATGCATTTCATGTTCATGATCGTTTATCTTTGATACTGTGGTGGGCAAATGTCCATGAATATTTATCGTATACTTAGCAATGTACAACATATGCACATGTATTGCCCTCTCTGACACTGTAATGACATATGAGTCTTCTTCGCACAAGGCATGGAGACGTACATGAAAGACCTAAGTATCGGTTTACTGCATACATTACACTCTTATCAGGTGTGGCTGGCTGCAATGAAAGAAGTAGCGACATCCAATATTCAATAATGAACACCCATTGCAGATTGACAGAAGGATATGATTGCAGGTTACATAGTTCACATGGGGTGTCAACACTAAATTATATCCACTGTCACAACGGTACAAAGAGATGAGCGATTAAGATTGGAATTGTACGCAGCGTTTACGAACGTGAGAACTGGGAGTGGTCTTAAGGATTTGCGTTGATAAACGTAGGGCTCAATGGCTTCCAGATTAATGATTACTGGTAATACTGCAGTGTTCATGTTTGATCTCATATCAGACCAAGTAAGATGTGACTACTGCTCTAATATGAGTTTTTGCTTCAACAAAACGGTAAATGCTCGTCGACGTTCTCGGCCTAGATTTTCGAAGCTCTCTAAGCGCTAAGATATTCGTAAGTGCCATTCATTAACATTCACTTACGACTATCTTAGGGCTAAGAGAGCTTCGAAGATCTAGGACCTGGTCCATAACTTGATTGTCTCCCTTGTGTAAAGGCCGACGACAGGTGTACTGATGTACGCTGCAGTGAAACAACACAATCAAACTTTTATTGCAAATTGTGACAATGGCGGGTTCTGCCGCGAACAACTGTTGTTTAGTGACAAGTTGTTTTCCAAACTTTGTTGTTATTATACCCAGCAGAAGCTATTAAATAGACTGTCGAGACTGGATGTTCTCCTGCACTTGTGTTTAATATTTGTCGAGCAACCCCGACAAAAGATACACACTTGCACATAAGTAGGAGGCTGCATAATCGTATTTTGTTGTTTGTACTGCATGAAGGGCTTTAAATGTATATCAGCTATCTATACGACATCTTAGTCAACATTCTGCAACCTGACAGTCCCTGGGGATACCAGGTGTACGTTAATATAAGCTTATTGTTCTTATATTCACATTGCTGAGGTAACCACGTAGGCCATGTTGGATTTTTCACAGTGATTCTTACGTCTGGCGTAAGAAGCCGAGATCTTGTTTCATTCAATTTTAGCTGGCGCTGACGCATAGAAACATTTACAGTGTTTACGTATCAACCGACAACTGCAAACTGGGTCTACGGGTAGTCTAGTGGGTAAAGCGTTTGCTCGTCTCGCCGATTAATGTTCGATGCTATTAAAGTTTTGAAGTTCGTTCGTTGTGTCACCGGTCGTAAATTGCCTTGGATTATTTCAAAAGCCTTTAAACTCACTTTCATTCAAATTCTACACAATTCACGTTGATTTTGGATTTTATTCATGTGAAAACTGTGAACATAGCATATCTTGAACAATGATCCTGTGAATAAAGCGAATAAACCCTAACGTTTCACAAATGGTAAGAAACATTCGTGAAACGTTGAACTCAACTCGATTTCCATTATAGTATTAACTTAAATTGTGTTTATGAATAATGCCAATAAGTGTTTGATTCATGCGTATTCTTCTCAACCAGTGACACTGACAAAAACACATGCAAAGGCAAAACAATCACTGCACAGAAACGTATGTTGAATCAAAGTAGGGAATGACATCAGAAATGATTTTATCACTGATGCGTGTTCCACATATCTACCATACAGCAATTTGAGATGGGGAATAAATACCAGTTTACTGTAGAACCCATTCTGTCTTAAATAATACTGCGAGTGAGTGAGTGAGTGAGTGTGTGAGTGTGTCATCGCTGGGCAACCCCATGGAACTCATAGAGACAAATTAAGGATACATTCAGGATGCTCTCACACCCAAGGGACATAACTCTGACTACTCTGGCTGACGGGTATCAACGTGTATAATATTGGCGGTCATCACCATACACCGAAGTGTAGGTGTGGCTTGGTGTTTAGAGCAAATCAAATATGATTTTGCAGTGGTTTAAACTAAGGCAGTTTGTTATTGATGAGTGAAGAACATACTGTGTTTTGGAGTAATGAATGTGACGGAAGAATTTCGTTCAACTTGGTAATAAACAAACCAGCAATGATATTAAATCTCTTGTGGTAGTTTTTTTTCTAGTGCTAAACTTAAGTATCTGTAGAAGGATTCTAAATAATTAATGATAATATAAACATATATTGTGTAACTTGTGTCCAGAGATAACTATGTGAGGTATGATTCATGTATGAAGGGCAATAGATGACATGAATATGACTATAATAACATCAGTATTCCGGGCATTTTACCCCCGGTTCATAACGTGCATTTTCCTCAGATATTAGGATAAGCGATATATACGTCAGTGGATTAGTAGATTTCAAGATGTTTACATCATACCAAAGGATTGGGTGCATATTTTAGCGGATATCTGTGCGTAGCATGCTTATTATATATATATGTTAACTGCTATATATGTTAAACTGTGGTTTGTATTGCTTGTTTCAGGTGACGAGAAAACACTCAAAGGGAGACAACTCAACCCGTACTCTAGGCCGCCTTCATATTAACAGTGATTCATGGGCCATTTTACGAAAGGTCATGCCACTGCAAACGTTGTGCCACTTCGTCGGACATAATTATAATGCCATGAATTAGGCCATAATGTCAACTGGTTAAGGAATTTTCAAAATGGTTAATTAAACCTCTTGTATTCAAATTCCAAAACACGACGACATTCCCTGCAATCACACACCAGTAACAGTGTGCACTTCAAAGAGACTGGACTGATATTTAGTACAAGAAAAAGATATTTTATTAAAACATATATATCTAAATAACAGTCCAAATGGAGCCCAGGACAATCCTTTATTTCTAGAGCTGAGAATATCTCGACTTGCAAAATCATTCTAGGCATCAGTAGCACACCTGTTTTATCTATTCTCTTGGATCTGGAAGACAGACTAGAAGGAGACAAAATGGCGAACATGTCGCATAGCAACGTGACGTTACAGGAACTTAACGACGCCATGGCAATGCTGCTCATACCCGCTATGGTGTATGTGGGTGTCATGATGATAGTGGGCTTCGTTGGCAACGTTCTCGTAGTGTACGTCTTCCCAACGAAACTGACCACCAGTACCCAGAGTGTCCTGATAACCTGCCTGGCAGTGTTTGATCTTCTGAGCTGCATAATCGCCATGCCTACAGAGATAGCGGACATAAGGTTCTTCTTCATGTTCGAGTCCGTGTTCGCCTGCAAAATGTTTAGATGTGTCAACACCTTCTGCGCAATGTGTTCCATACTCACTCTCCTTGGTATAGCAGTTGATCGCTACCGGAAGGTGTGTTGTCCTCACAAGAAACAACTTGGCATTAACCAGATGAAGATTGTCATAGGTGTTTCAATTCTCTTATCCGCTTTGTTTTCATGGCCAGCTATTATGATATATGGTATCCGATCAGCGGACACTGGTGTTGAGCACTTGATTGGTAAAGACTGTTCCACAAGCGATGCTCTCAAACATACTCTGTATCCTCTGATCTACAATGGCGTCCTGGCTTTGTTATTCATTATTACTGCTGTTGTGTTGTGTGTCTTGTATTTCTTAGTGTGGCGGACTGCTAAGAAACATACCAAAACCTCAAGACAGGTTGGTCAAAACACACCGTCAACTGGTACCACTATGGAGTTGTCGTCTGCGGATAGCGACGGAAGTGTACCCAACAAAACAGGGCATAGTCCGCGTCGAGGTATGACGTCACAGAGACGGACCAACAAGACTACCACGATAGCATTCATGGTAACGATCGTATTTATACTCAGTTTTGTGCCTCACCTATCTTTAGTTATTGCGAGGTCTACCGTTAAAGACTTTGACTACAAACTGGATGATGTTGGCACTGTATTCTTTAATATATTCTTACGCTCATATTTTGTGAACTCGGCAGCAAATCCCATCATCTACGGTGTCATGAACGTCAGATTTCGCCGTGAGTGTTGCAAAGTGCTGAAAAATGTGTTTTGTTGCGGACGATTGTGATGTACAGAATAGACAAAAAGGATTACTTCTTCAACAGTGTCTGTCCCGGATGAAAGGATTACAACGGAAATGACGTAACATGACAGGTGATGGATCATTATTATTATTGAAATATTGTTTCAAGTGGATCAGCTCAAAGCAACTACTTCGCACCGGCTATGTGAAATGAATTCATTATATCATCAAGACAGTAGTCATGTTTTCATCAGTTTAAGCTGAACATGTTTAGAAGAACCGCGAAACTCCATATGTTATGAACGTCCATAAACCTTTAAAGGGAGACAACCCGTTTCCGTGGATTACGATCCGGAATGTGTTATCCGGGCTGTACTCCTGGTTACTTCACAGCCCGGATTTTAGACTCTCTCACTGCATCTATATATTATTAGAGTTATATTGATATCGAAAGGGGAAATAAGTTTACTGGGAGCTACATGCACCTATATAAGAACAAAATGTTTTTATCAGTATCAAAATTTGATATACAGTTGCTTATGTAGGAGTTACATGAAGAGTGAATGAGTTTGGTTTTAAGCTGTGTTTACCAATATTTCAGCGTTATCACGACGGGGGACACCAGGATCGGGCTTCACACAATGTACCCATGTAGGAATCGAACCCGAGTCTTCGGCGTGACGGGCCGACGCTTTAACCACTAGGCTACCCCACCGCCTAGTTACATGAAGAGGGTACAGTGAAATTAGTGAAACAATGAAATTTCGTTTGAGCGGATTGTTACATATGTATTTATACACATGGATAATATATACACAGGAAGTTGGCAAATGCGGAAAGGAAAATGTATAAGGGACATGCTTGTTTACAGGCTGTACACAATTTTAACAAATCACAAAATGCTTATTTCGTTTTCATGTTAACAATGAGAACTAACTACGGTTAATATCAGCACACAAGTCATGCTTGTCTTATACTTCCTGGAATGTGTGTCCCATGCCCTGTCTCACTCGTTGCTGTACATATAAGCACCTATTTGAAATATTGTAAATATACACTGAAGTCCTCTAATTTTGAGAATATTTCGTAACTGATACTTCTATTGCTAATTAATGTTGGACGTCGTTGTGTTATTTTCGTATTTAAACATTTGAATGAAGAAAGCCACTTTTCAATTTTGTAAATGTATAATGTATACAACAGCTAATTCGGCATGTACCTCATCAAAATATTTAACTTAATATACTACAACATAAAACGACTATTTACGTGTATTTCCGAGCTTGACATTTTACATTGATACATAGTGTGCAGCATATATGTGTGTCCACAGAGACACCCGTTCTTCCGGAAACACCGCCTTGTGGCTGGTAATGGTCACACCCATAATCAAGGCCTGGAAGGTCAATAGTATTCTGCAATCATAAAGTCTTCCACAGCAGAATGCATACTCTACACATGTGCCATACATTGGATTTAATTGTCACTAGAACTGATGACGTTGACATCCAGTGTATCGCCTGGATGCGCCATGAGCATGCATGAGTGGGTGGACATTGGCGCTTTACAAATATCCACTATTATTAAAATGTCAAGACTGATCATATTGCTGTTTTGTTCAGTGTTCATACCCTTGTACCCCGTGGATTAAGGGAGGAAATTGTGTTTAGAAAGTGAAAGAACATGCAGAGTTTCAGTCGGGATCTTGAGGCTGCATTGACAGATTTCAGAAGCAGTTCTACATCTGAATGTGTTGATCGACAACAGTGTCTTTGCGAATATTATTGAGCAGCATGCTCTGTTATCAAGGCACACTGTTAGATTATATTCTGATGCTTAATAGTACAATGGACAGCAACAACGTCGAAAGATGAGTGAGTGAGTGAGTTAAGATTTAACGTCACATCGGCAATATTTCAGCCATATCGTGGCGAGAACATATTTGACATTGAAATGAAGCATAATCATATAAACCTGTCGTCAAAGGACAGTAAAACAACTAAAATATCACAATTAGAATTAAAACTAGCGAGGAAAGTTAAAACTAATATCACTATTTGGACAATACAATATAAAAACAGGCTATAGATCGCCAACAACTGAAGGTAGATCACCATACCAGGGATCATGGGGACTTACAGTACCTTTGCTACCTGCATGGACCCTAGTTGGATTTACACCATCCCTTCAACTGCTGGCGATTGTAGGAAAGTTAAGCCATAAAAAACAACGAATGTGCTACGATTAAAAGTTCGGTAGAGCGAAATTGTCGAAAGATGAGATGCAAATGAGGAGGACTAGTTTAACTATACACAAACAACTCCAAGATGGACAGAGGACCAAGCCAAAAGGAAGTACTTAATTAAGCTGACCAGTACAGCAACTACTTGTCTTGATGTTCAAGGCCCTCAACATAAAAACAGACCCGTCTACTCAGCAAGTCTTCTCCAGAAATATACACCAACAACATGATCATCTGATCAGTGTGTGACCAGGACGGTTAGTACACGAACTAATCCATTCGGCATCTCAGGCTGCACGACCATTCCCTTGGAATCAGTGTGCGAAATAGCCACTAGCCCGCTAGCCTGTGGCTAGTAAAAATCCAATCGGGCCACTAAATCTCCACAGTCCCTGGCCCGACTGGCGAGTGGGATCATTTTATAAAAATATATCACTCTCCGACTTGTTAAGTCATAATACACTTTTAAATCATGCAAACTTATGGCGTGATAAATTATGGTATTTTACCTTTTCGTAATCTTTTGCTAAGTTTCTACATTCAGATTTTGGGCAAGTGAATTATTTTGTTGGCTAGTAATGTTCAGGCATAGCTAGATCGACTGGCAAGCAAAATTTAGAAACTATTTCGCACACTGCTTGGAATAGACTTCCAAGTATAAGAACACTCCAGGATCTTGACAGCTTTAAATCCAGTTTAAAGACTCATTTGTTTAGGACAAAATTCATAGTCCCCTGCATATATGCCTCATGTTTTGTTAATCCGAATATGCGGTACGTTAGGTTATCTATGCGGTTTAGTTACAGTCAGAACAACGGGGTGTACAATAAAACCCCTTTGATGATAATATATGTGACACTAAAACAGCCATTAAGTTTTATTGTCAAAACTGAAACTGCCTGTAAGCGACAATCAAAGTCTTCAGCGTAAACAGTGCAACAATGAACTTTTATTATGAGATTGACAATTCCTCACACAAAGTGAGCATCCTAAGCAGTTGGGATTCAAAAGATGATTTCTTGAAACACTGGTTTTGTAAATGTCCAGTGAATATTGGTTAGTGTGAATAGTAGCTGTCATCGGGTTCAAAATGTTGTGAAGGGATACGGTGATTTGTCAGATGTACCGATGACATACATGTACTTCTCATTTGGGGCACATATGCATATCCCTAGTTGTGTTTCATTCGTGAGGTCGTTAAAGCACAGTTTCGTCAGCCCTCAGATCTGGGTAGTCCCATGATACAATATGTGAAGCCCATTCTTTGATCTTCTCCGTCATTCTTTATGGCTGAATGATCAAATCGCGATATATAATCGAAACGCTCTGAGTTGTAAATATCTGATTGGAGTACTAAAGATGTCGATGAGAAGCAAGTGATGTGTACACGGCACAAAGACGACAAAATTTAACTCGACATACGTTCTTGTACAGAAGGAACAAACATTGTCAGACAGGTATATGTCATCAAAGATAAACGTGATCAATTGGTAACGCTGTTTGAACACTGTTTCTGTAATATCAGGGCGTGTCCGGATAACGTCAGGATACCGTCATTGTAACGTCAGCATGCCGGGAGAAAACTTACACGCTTGAATGGAATCACTGCTCACAAGGCTTGCATTCTTGTCACACATTTTTTCTGACACACCTGTTGGGTGAAATCCACTTGAGATTAAGCATTGAAGTAAGTATTAAACATTTGTGGGCAATCGAATTCGAGGTCCACGAATATCTAGTGGTGGTGACCCGAAGTCAGATACTTCATTATTACACTTCATGGTAAGTTTACATCTGTGGCGAAACTTTACGAATTTAGAGTTTAAGAATGTTCTTCGATATTACTTAGCTTGCATTGTCATCATCGGCAATACTGCACAGGTGTATCTGAAATCTTTTTCGTTGGCACGCTTTTTTATGAGCAATAAACAATCAACCGAATGACGTCAATTAATGACGGTGTGTTATGCTTAAATGCGTCATGAGAAAAGACAGCTATATGCATCAATTCGATGCTACAATGGTGCGAATTTAGGCTGTGTAAGAAACAGATGTCTGCATTAACAAACAAGTAAACAAAAAATCATTATGTCCTTTATTTTTGGATGTGGAGGCTGAAGAAATGCAGTAAGTAAATTACAGCGTCAGTTGTCCAGGTGTTGTAGCCTGGGGTTAAATGATGGTGACAACACGATATGACGTTGATAAATATATAGACGTGTATGAAGTTATTGATTGTCGACATATAGCATCGAATATTTTGCCTTTTCCGCCCAGCAGAATCCATTCAAAGTGAAAATCGAGAAAATTGTTATTCTTTTTTCAATTTGTTTTCCAGGTCGTCAATCAAAAAAAGACAATTTAATGTAAGTCACATGCGTAGTTTTATATTCGTAACTGAATACATCAACATTTTAAATAAATTTTCCCAGAATTGTTTTTGTTAAAAATCCTAATTGTGCTCCTTACTGTTATCAAAAAGATATTGTTAGCAACAAAATACTCTTTGGCAAGTTAATTTTTGCAGCAAAATATATAAGCCCATAGTATTAATTGAAAAAATGTCACGTTTTGCGGATGTAGCTAATGAAAAAAACATGTCTCCGTAGAACATCCGTGGTATCCTAAGCATCAAATAGTGTGCTCTAACGAGGGAGGATAACTTCGTACAGGTCCTATTTTGATTAACGATACGCAAGCAAACCAAACAAACGAACAAAGCCTCATAACCGTGAGGAAACTTGGGTGGCAATTGATCCTGGCTCCGGGCTTTCCTCAACGAGTCTCCACCCTTTGGACCACTGGACCACACATACATAAAGAAATGCGCTGACGAAGATTAAGTATTCTCGCGGATAATTCTATTCCCAGTCATGTACATATTATGTTATATTACACCATCTGTCGAGTAAGTGAATGTAGTTTTACACCGCAGCCAGACCAATTAGAGCTACCCATGTATCGAAACTTGATCAAACAAATATACACACTCCATGTCATCAGTTACATTAGACAATCACACAACATAACCACCTGAAAACACGATAAGTAACAGTGGAGTCAGGCGTAACGGGTATGTTGAGATCGCTGAGATACCCGTTGGCAATGAGATATTTGCCAATGTCGTATACAGTAGATGTAAAGGTGTGTTCGTGTGGCTGGATAACACAATGAAGATCTCACGTACCCACTCGTGATTGTAATCCTGTGGTAAGTGGGTCTTAAGCTACTCTTAGCAATACTCAAACAACATATCGACAGAGGACACCAACATGGACGCCAGACATCGTTTATGCACAAGTATGGGTCTGTACCGAAACGAGTGGGTGAGTGAGCATGGTTTTACACCGCTTTTAGCAATATTACTGCAATATCATGGCGGACGACACACGAAATGGACATCACGTACTGCACCCATGTGGGGAATCGAACCCAAATCTTCTGCACAAAGACTGGACGCTTTAACCAGTTGGCTATCCGGCCAACCTCCCCGCGCGGAACACTATCCATTTACATTATGTTATGTTAGCTTGAAATGGGAGAAAGGCTCGAAGATGTTCATCACATTCGTGAAACCATCGAGCAGGGGTATGGAGCTGAGAAACCTAGACACATATCAGGGAGGGCCAGGATAGGTTCCTGCCATATCCCAGGGGCACCACTCTGTATAGCGAATTGCGGCGCTAACGTCGATTAGGTCACACATATCCCAACTTTGAATTAGAAGGTACACCAAGGCTATATGAACTTGAGGTGAATGCTAACCCTGATATTTCCAAGGATCTCTCGGTTGATTGTTCATATTCACGTCTCGTGGTAATACGTCTGACCTTATTCTAAATAAAATTCTAAAAACTTACCTACCCACTATATATCGGTTACCCTGCGAAATGTGCACGCATCGGGTGTATTTGATCTAGCAAGCAGCTAATAATAAATCATGGCTCTGAATGAACACTGCGTTTCTTCGTTAACGCCAAAGTTCATGTAAATATCTTTCACAATCCCAAATACAAGCCGTCTTCACTGATTGTACATGCATATTGGAATCGAACCCGGATCTTCTATATAACGAGGAAAGCCACATTCCACGGACCTATCCTTTAATCGATTCGTTCCTATGCCCGTATATAACACGAAGTATATATAATGTAAGGCAGTACATAGGAGTCAGGCAGTAGGTGCAGTTTTGACAATGGCTGTTTATTGATGGGGAACGACAAATCGCCAGACCTCCAAACCACATCCGTCTTAAACCTAGGGCGGCGTATCGATTACCAAATGCATGTCTTTTTAAAGAAATATGACGTACAGTTCGAGACATTAATATCTCCCAGCGTGTTTTATTACATTCTAAACGGTACGCTTATCTGATCACACCAGGACTGATCTTGACATAAATATTAATCATTGTTACTTCGAATTGTACAAACGTGTACGCCTGTAGCAATTACTCCCTGTCACAGAGCGAAGGAAACACAACAATAGTTCACCCAATATCCATCATCAGGGTTGTAGTTAAAAGAAGCCTCGCCCCTGTCACGAATAACGCAATATTAGTCTTAAAATACGACAGCTCTAATTTCAGGTCAAAGCAGTGTCAAGCTCCACTGGTCACGAGAAATGCACAGCAAAATTTAACCGTAGCGGCATTCATGAGGTGGTTTTCCCGGAAAAGGGGGTTAGAATATTAGATCCGGGAGAGCAACTACTATTACCTACACCGGCCATATGTCATGCTGTTGAGATGACTAAACAGGCAGTAGGGTTTTACGTAGGCTAATGACATATTACCTGAACGTACGTGTGTTAACAGAGATGTCACGATTGTTGTGAGTTTACACAGACAGTGATATCGTAACGTCCACATGGGAGAGCTCTACCAATGTGCTGTTCCTCCTTACAGGTGGCCTCAAGACCGACACAATACAGGTAAATGAAATAGTTGTCACTACGTAATATATACGTATTATAATATGTCAGTATACACCTATTGTGTCAACATTGTTGATGATAACTGCTCAGGATAGAAGGTCATAGTATGAGTTTAAGATTTCAACTATGTCCTTTACACTTCCCACTGGAGATAGGGCCGGCGGGGTAGCCTAGTGGTTAAAGCGTTCGCTCGTCGCGTCCAAGACCAGGATTCGATTCTCCACATGGGAACAATGTGTGAAGTCCATTTCTAGTGTCAAAGCCGTGATATTGCTGGAATATTGCTTAAAGCGGCGTAAGACTAAACTCGCTCGCACTCACTCACTGGAGATAACCCTGTTTCGATCTTTATAACACATTTACAAAATATAGATTTATTCTCTAAATTTTCATAGGTTTTAACTTATTGGTATTGTTATCAACAAAATCATTAGTAATATGCTGTTATGGTCAACAGAGACACTTATACCTATTTGAACTCATACATCCACCAGGTACTATTTTAGGGTGGGGTTGGGGGTATCAAATGTAATACTATCATACCCGAATGCCGTGGGATGATATGTAAAATGTGTGAAGCTCATTTCTGGTGTCCGTCTTGATATTGTTAAAATACTATGCGGCGTAAAACCACACTCACTCACATACTCACTCGATGATAATTGCTCTGACTAATGTTGATATTATTTGAAAGGTAGTAGCATAGTTAATTTGGCGTCTATTACCACAGATGGTCTGTGTGTCATATAGAGCAGGACAAATGTTAGAACCACTTTAGCCAGAGTTCAGTTCAGTGCTCATCACAGTTATCATGAACTGATGTTGTAAAGTTAAATGATGCGAAACTTCGTTGCCTAGGGATATTATGACATCAAGCTTGTTTTGCATATCATGCTGTTTATCTTTCGAGGTTAAATAGAACACGAATACAATCTAACGGGTTCAGGATCATTGTAACATTCACAACAACAAACTGAAACCTCGTGTATCCATACATTACGTTATCCAGTGTGGGAATTTCTGTAGTTTCTGGGAAGTATACGCCCATGTTTGTTGGTGACAATAATTAAACAAACATGAAATGACTATTTAATAGTGATGTATGTGATACGGATATCATAGGAGATATTACATGCAAATCAAAGAATATTTCACAACAATTCAGCAGAGACAAGTCTTGATTATATTGGTTATGTTTTGGTCCAATGAAATCTTCAGTGTAAACTTTGTTTGCCCGGTAGCGTATTTAATGGGCAAAATTTGGACTATTATAAAAAAAATTTAAGAAGAATGTCACATTTCATGTCCCGTGTTTTTCATAATGCATCTTCTATACAGCCTCGGGAGTTTAAGGTCAAAACACAATATATGATTTAGCAAGTCATTCCTTATTTTTTCGGTTATTCATTGCGTTGCATAGCACAACGGCCTACAGGTATAATTAAAATTCCACACGTGATATTAGCCTCCCCAGTGGTTAGCTTGACGGAGTATTCAATGGGGGTGGTGGAAGATTATCAACTTGTCATTGTCCCACATTCTGACAACACACGGGGTACGCTATGTATCTCAAAAGCACTGTATTACCATGACAATAACACTACCTGTAAAGCAACACCGTGTCTCGTTCTACCTGTGTAATAAAACCGACTGAACCAAACCACAAGAGAACAGAGAGATAATAGTAAATGTTTAACATAACAATGGATGATAAATGTCTACATTGTGACACTCACGCCAACATCCATGCTGCAGAATACAGTGCGTATTGAAGTTTTTCTTGTACTAAACTGGCAACCGTATTCATACCAATAACTAACCTCAGTTATATAAAACGTTAGAAAGATCGTTCATACATATCGAATTTTAAATTGATTGAAATGGGAAATTAATGATGATATGGAATATCCCATTCGTCAATATTCTGATTCCACAACAGTGTAACCTTTTGCCGTGGTGGTGTAGAAAAATGATAAAAGTGTCTTTCTCTGTTTCCTTCTCTATGGGGTAGCCAAGTGGTTAAAGCGTTAGCTCGTCACGCCAAAGATCCGGGTTCGATTCCCCACATGGATACAATGTGTGAAGCCCGTTTCTGGTATCCCCCGCCGTGATATTGCTGGAATATTCCAAAAAGTAAAACCAAAACCACCCACTCCTTCTCTACGAACCAACCAACCGCCATTATTGGGATATAATCATGTATTTATATGTGTAACATTTGAAATTCATACTCAAAGGATGATTTATCCTTAGAAAATCTAGAAAGTTCATCTCCTGGCCATAACAACATTAATTCACTTAACATATTTAAGAAAGGGGATGAATGCAAGTTGTGAACGTATTAACATGTCACTCAGTGGTCGTTTTTGCTTTTGTGTACATAGAGTTACTTGAAGGTCATGAAAGAAACACAACTGTGGTTGTTGTTATTGATATATATTGTCATGTGATAGCACCATGTTGAACAAGTTGATAAGGACATATTTCTATATCTGAGTGTCAAGACAATAGCCTTTTTGACATATTGTCAAAATAAATTTCACAGATCCGTTCGTCAAACGTACACTTCTATTTTATCAAAACACCAAGGGGAATTTGTTTCGGAGATAATCGAGACTGGTTATTAGCTGGCGTTGCGTTGACGTTTTTTCATACAAGGGATGTTTAGATACAATGGTTGAAACAAAGGCATTCGCAATATATTATTATATTACACTAATGCAAGCTTGGATAACGGAAGAAACGTTTTTGGTTGACACCTGAAGCCAAATCTCTGACTATGACAAGCCGTATGCTGCTTTGGAACAAACCGTATGAATCACACACACACACGCACGCACGCACACACGCACACACACGCACGATCACACACACACACACACACACACACACACACACACTCTCTCTCTCTCTCACGCACGCACGCACGCAGGCACCTACCTACCTACATACATACATACATGCACACACACATACATACATACATACATACATACATACATACATACATACATACATACATACATACATACATACACACATACATACATACATACATACATACATACTTGCATACACACATACATACATACACACACATACATACATACATGCATACACACACATACATACATACATACACACACATACATTCATACATACATACATACATACATACATACACATACATACATACATACATACATACATGCACATACATACACACATACATACACACACATACATGCACATACATACACACACATACGTACATACACACATACATACATACATGCACATACATACATACATACATACATACATACATACATACATACATACATACATACATACATACATACATACATACATACATACACATACACACATACATACATACATACATACATACATACATACATACATACATGCATACATACATACATACATACACATACATACATACATACATACATACATACATACATACATACATACATACATACACATACATACATACATACATACATACATATACATACATACATACATACATACATACATACATACATACATACATACATACATACATACATACATACATACATACATACATACATACATACATACAGCCGAACTACGGCTATATCGAACTAAAATTAAATGTCCATTTTAGTTCGTTATACGTACTTTACTGTAAAGACATATTGTAACCTGTAACCGCTACAGACCAGAGCATGCAGACACTGTGTGCCTATATCGCCCACAAACACGTTAATCATTCAAAGAATGTAATGTCTGCCAGCTGTGGGAGGCAGGTCATTCACTGTACTGGGAACAACAGCGACGGATATGCAACACAAATGCAATATTTAACATTCATCGTTGTGTAGACATGCGCCTCTCTCGTTATCGACAGTTTCACAGCTCAGCCATTGCTGGAGTAATGCTATTCCCTTTTCAATCATACTTTATGGCAATGTGACAACAAATATTCCAAGACGCATTCCTGTACTTTACAATATATGTCATTTCGATCAATCATACGCGTTTCGGATACCTCGCCTTTGCAATGATATCTGTGTTAATCTATCTATCCCCTACCTATGTATGTATGTATGTATGTATGTATGTATGTATGTATGTATGTATGTATGTATGTATGTATGTATGTATGTATGTATGTATGTATGTATGTATGTATGTATGTATGTATGTATGTATGTATGTATGTATGTATGTATGTATGTATGTATGTATGTATGTATGTATGTGCGTGCGTGCGTTCCTTCGTGCGTTCGTGCGTGTGTATATATATAAATATATATGTGCGTATGGATGTATGTATGTGTTTCTCTGTGTGTATGTATGCATGCATGCGGGGGTGTTTTAGATGGCGATGCGTGTGTAGGTCTGGTGTGTTTTGTCCCTGTGTGTGCGTCTGTGTGATGTTTTACCATTTCCTCTATAAAACCGATATAAATAGCTCACACCTGAATCCAGTGACGGTACTCATTAACTACACCACGCTGCTGTGACGTTTCGTGACGACATACTCATCTTGATTTCACACATGTTTGAGTGCATATCACTCAGTCTCCATTGTACACGGACAAAGCAGACATGCATGACGGCTGGACGTGTCTTCTGTTGTGGGTGGTGTGTTACAAGGTGATTGATGACAAAAATATAAACGTCTTTGGCCAAGGAGGATGTCAGAGAAAGGATAGGAGCAAAACATACAGATGTAAAAATGGAAGGAGTTCGGAGGCACGAGAATGGTACAGAAGATGGCCAGAACTGAATAAGGGGCTCAACAGTAGGAGGAAACTGAAGGAAGGAGATCAGCGGGATGGGATGGCTACAACGTAAGGAGAGAATTGAAGGAAGGAGATCAGCGGGATGAGATGGGTACAGCGTAAGGAAGAGACTTGAAGGAAGGAGATCAGCGGGATGAGATGGGTACAGCGTAAGGAGAGGAGGATCAGCGGGATGGATGGGTACAGCGTAAGGAGAGAATTGAAGGAAGGAGGATCAGCGGGATGGGATGGGTAGAATTGAACGAGAGATCAGCGGGATGGGATGGGTGAAGGAGAGGAAGGAAGGAGATCAGCGGATGGGATGGCTAGAAGGAAGGAAGGAGATCAGCGGGATGAGATGGGTACAACGTAAGGAGAGAATTGAAGGAAGGAGATCAGCGGGATGGGATGGGTACAGCGTAAGGAGAGAATTGAAGGAGGAGATCAGCGGGATGGGATGGGTACAGCGTAAGGAGAGAATTGAAGGAAGGAGATCAGCGGGATGGGATGGGTACAGCGCGTAGGAGAGAATTGAAGGAAGGAGATCAGCGGGATGAGATGGGTACAACGTAAGGAGAGAATTGAAGGAAGGAGATCAGCGGGATGAGATGGGTACAACGTAAGGAGAGAATTGAAGGAAGGAGATCAGCGGGATGGGATGGGTACAACGTAAGGAGAGAATTGAAGGAAGGAGATCAGCAGGATGGGATGGGTACAGCGTAAGGAGAGAGTTGAAGGAAGGAGATCAGCGGGATGAGATGGGTACAACGTAAGGAGAGAATTGAAGGAAGGAGATCAGCGGGATGGGATGGGTACAACGTAAGGAGAGAATTGAAGGAAGGAGATCAGCGGGATGGGATGGGTACAACGTAAGGAGAGAATTGAAGGAAGGAGATCAGCGGGATGAGATGGGTACAACGTAAGGAGAGAATTGAAGGAAGGAGATCAGCGGGATGGGATGGGTACAACGTAAGGAGAGAATTGAAGGAAGGAGATCAGCGGGATGAGATGGGTACAACGTAAGGAGAATTGAAGGAAGGAGATCAAGGGATGAGATGGGTACAACGTAAGGAGAGAATTGAAGGAAGGAGATCAGCGGGATGGGATGGGTACAACGAAGGAGAGAATTGAAGGAAGGAGATCAGCTGGATGGGATGGGTACAACGAAGGAGAGAATTGAAGGAAGGAGATCAGCGGGATGGGATGGGTACAACGTAAGGAGAGAATTGAAGGAAGGAGATCAGCGGGATGGGATGGGTACAGCGTAAGGAGAGAATTGAAGGAAGGAGATCAGCGGGATGGGATGGGTACAACGTAAGGAGAGAATTGAAGGAAGGAGATCAGCGGGATGGGATGGGTACAACGTAAGGAGAGAATTGAAGGAAGGAGATCAGCGGGATGAGATGGGTACAACGAAGGAGAAGGAGAGAATTGAAGGAAGGAGATCAGCGGGATGGGATGGGTACAACGTAAGGAGAGAATTGAAGGAAGGAGATCAGCGGGATGGGATGGGTACAACGTAAGGAGAGAATTGAAGGAAGGAGATCAGCGGGATGAGATGGGTACAGCGTAAGGAGAGAATTGAAGGAAGGAGATCAGCGGGATGGGATGGGTACAACGTAAGGAGAGTATTGAAGGAAGGAGATCAGCGGGATGGGATGGGTACAACGTAATGAGAGAATTGAAGGAAGGAGATCAGCGGGATGAGATGGGTACAGCGTAAGGAGAGAATTGAAGGAAGGAGGTCAGAGGGATGAGATTGGTACAACGTAAGGAGAGAATTGAAGGAAGGAGATCAGCGGGATGAGATGGGTACAACGTAAGGAGAGAATTTAAGGTAGGAGTTCCGAGGGATGAGATGGATACAGCGTAAGGAGAAGACTAAGGAAGGAGTTATCGAGGCGTGAGAGGTTCAAAATAAGGAGAGAATTCAAAGAAGGAGTTCTGCGGAATGAGATGGGTACAACGTAAGGAGAAGACTAAGGAAGGGGTTTAGCGAGGCATGAGGGGTTCAACATAAGAAAATAATTGAAGGAAGGAGTTCCGAGCGATGAGATGGGTACAACGAAAGGAGAAGACTAAGGAAGGAGTTAAGCGAGGCACGAGGGGTTCAATATAAGAAAAGAGTTGAAAGAAGGAGTGAATGAGTGAGTTTAGTTTTACGCCACACTCAGCAATATTCCAGCTATATGGCGTTGAAAGAAGGAGTTCAGAGGGATGAGATGGGTACAACGTAAAAAGAGAATTGAAGGAAGGAGGTCAGACATATGGGATGGGTACAACGTGCATACTTTCATTTACTTGGCAGCTTAAATGAATATGAAGTGCATTTACACCACGAGCTGATTATTTGGTTTGGTAATGTCATCTGTGATATCAAATATAATCTTGTTGGATGTCAACATCGTTGTGTTTCTTTTTCCCGTTGGGTAAATCGGCTGATCTGTAAACACTTCAATGCTGGAAATATGTAGACTGGGCAATGGATACCGTAGTATAGGTGGGTGTTTACTTTCTAATCTAGTTCAAGGGGGCCTGTATATCCATACATTCACGGGTACCCTCTATTCGCCTGTGACAGACTAATTCCTGCGTGCGAAACTGATACTACTAGGCGAAATGAATAGGGGTACTGAATCATGCAGACTGAATATTTTCTTCACAATATGAATTTAACCTTTTAACATGTAAATTATAATGTATTTAAAGTAATATAAATTGACTTAGATGGGAACCTTGTTTATGCTCTCCTAAAATTTACAGCCTGATGCACCATCCCCGGTTGGGCGGGGTACCGCTAAGGTTGAAGGTAAAGGATTTGGTCAACATGATGAAAAACAATAATCATAGTAACAACTGCCTCCCAGTATTTTAATAGTCAGTGGTAGAACATACACCATGTATACCGACTGTTGCAGTAGGACAACGGATGTAATATTTGAAGATAAACTTCATATGCAGCTTTTATGTTACTTGTAGTTATATTCACCAGGAACCTGATTCGGACAAACGTGATCACATCGTGAATATTACTGATAAATATGAGTGAATATTTTCCTTATCAAGCTGCTCCATAATGAAACTTGATAATCAGGACAAAACCTCTAACTGGATCAACAAACAATCCCTCAGTCCCTGGTGGCCCATTAATAGAGGTACTTCCTTGTGCGCAGTGAAAGAAGGACTATGTTAACCATGACGCTATGATGTGATTTAGTATACATATATGCCTCCAAACCGGACGCTACCAACCAGTAGAGAGCCAACGCCCAATCAGTCATGATGACACTTGTACTGTGCTTACTGTGTCGTCAAAGGTAAATATCTGGTTTTATTAAATATTTCTCAAAGACACTTATAACAAGTGAAAAGCTTGTTGTTCAGTAAGTAGATGTCGGAGAAATATTCTTCCTTCACGGCTTATATAGAATTATAATAATTCAGCCTTTACCAGGCGTATCTGTGGTTAATAGTATGAACAACTATGTGACTCACTGACACATAATCAGGTCACACAGTGTTACTATTGTCTGACAGATAATAAGGTCACACATTGTAATTACTTTCTGACTCATCATCAGGTCACACATTGCAACTATTTTCTGACACTTAATCAAGCGACACACTGTAACAACTGTCTAACAGATAATAAAGTCACGCATTGTAACGATTGTCTGGCACATGATAAGGTCACACATTGTAACGATTGTCTGACAGATAATCAGGTCACACATTGTAACGATTGTCTAAAACATAATCAGATCACACATTGTAACAATTGTCTAACACATGATGTGGTAAAACAAGGTAACTATTGTCTATATTTGTCGGGTCTTACGATCTGCATGGTTTACCTGGGACCTTTTATATGCTCTGTAGCCCCCTGAGAGTCGTAGCTATGATAAGGTGACGGTTTCTTCTATATGCCTTACTTGTGTCAGCCCGACCGTGTACTCGTTACTCATTCCGCCTTGACTCGTGTCTGTGCATCCGTTTTCTCTTCTGAGGTGAGTGAAATTTATGACCGGCAGTGTTTGTTTAGTGATATTTTCTGTGTCCTGCAGGTGCAGGGGATAATCCCGTCTAGACACAACAGTATATATCACTATATCATTGTAGAATATGAGCGAATAGGGGATCAACCACCTGATATGCTGGAGAATGGGCCGGAGATGAGGGTGGGACGTGGTGACATGTGGCGGGGTGTGTTGGGATGGGGTGGAATGTTTTGGGATGTGGTGTGAAAGTGGTTACAATTCTTTGTATTTCGCCTCAAGTTTTTACAGATTTCGTCTCAATTAACGAACACATGCACTTCCAACCCTCTCCAAACCTTTTTAATATGTATGAGGCAGGACAACTGAAATAAGTAAGCTAGACAGAGGCGAGCGAGTTTGTTTGACTTCGCACTGTATTTTTCAATATTCCAGTAAAAACACTAAAATATTCTTCCACATTGTATCTACGTGAACAGCCTATCCTGGGTCTTTTGTGTGATGAGCAACAACTGATTTAACCACTGGGTCACCCTATCGCCTCTTAACTTTGACTACAAATATGTATCAGACTTTCTAAATAATCCGATATAATTATCACTTTGTTAATGATATATTATATAATTGTTTTGCATCTTGTTTTCCAGGACACTTGGAACACATACCGTGACATGTACAAGCGGGTTGCTGTCTGCCTTCAATGAACAACTGTAATGGACAAAGGATGATCGGATGCTGGCGCTCCTGAAACAACAGTTGTGGTTGTGTTAATGTCCAGTGTGTGAAACTGATCTTTGGTGTCCCCAGTCGTGATATTGCTGAAATAAGACTTATAACCACTCACTGCATCAATGGTCTAAATGCTGAGCAGGATGAACACGTCCACACTTCCCCCGACTAACAATGAAACGGATCCTCCGTGGAACGGGAACAGAACCCTGAAGGACGTCAATGACGCTATGGCCATGACGTTGCTTCCAGTCATGCTGTACATTGGAGTGTTAATGATCGTTGGTTTCGTCGGCAACGTCATGGTAGTCTACGTCTTCATCTTCAAATTCAGACGTGGAACACAAAACTTCCTTATTACCTGTCTAGCAGTGTTTGATCTGATCAGCTGTGTGATTGCAATGCCTACAGAGATTGTTGACGTCCGCTACTTCTACATGTTTGACTCTGAATTTGCATGTAAATTATTAACCTTCGTGACGACCTTCTGTGCAATGTGTTCTGTATTTACATTACTGGGTATCGCAATTGACCGATACATCAAAGTGTGCCGCCCGTTAACAAACCAGGTAAAGGTGAAGCATGTGAGGATCTGGATTGTCATTGTTGTGTTTGTTGCACTTGGATTTTCATGGCCTTCCTTGCTCATCTATGGAATAAGATCTGCGGATACAGATGAGCCTCATATTACAGGCAGGGACTGCTCAACAGCTGACCAAATGATTGGTACACATTATCCCCTGATATATAACGTTGTGTTAGTGGCTGGTCTTCTCGTCACAACAACTGTGCTCTTAGTGTTATATGTGTTCATACTTAAAGCCATAAGGATTCATAGAAGCCATATGAAAGCACGTGCCTCTTTTGCATCTGATACGGTTGTTTCAACGATAGAAATGTCAAACAAAGGTATTTCGGAACCACAGTATAGACTCGATAGTAAGAACAGCTTCAAGACAAGCGAGCGACGGAATAAGACGACTGTAATTGCATTCTTGGTGACGATTGTATTTGTGTTGAGCTTTCTTCCGCATCTTGCTCTAATGTGCACCCGAGCCATCATAAAAGACTTTGACCATGACTTAAGGGGATCGTCTCTTGTTGCATTCAATATATTCATTCGTTCCTACTTTGTCAACTCTGTAGCTAATCCTATAATATACGGCGTCCTGAACTACAAATTCAGGGAAGAATCAGTGTGGTTGTTCAGAACTGTTCTGTGCTGTAGACGACGTCGCGTACAAATTACCCAAGAACCTTCATTTACATCGTTTTCTTGATGAACGGATTCTACCATGAGCATTGCAATTTCCGACACTACTCTTTTTTGAGCACGAGAGGCGATGTTTTTAAATAGCGGGGCGGTATTTAGCAGCTCCAACTGAATAGACAGTTCAAATGTGAATTGATTATAAAATTATTCTTTTTCCCTGTTCTACAGTTTTGTTGCAAATAAGTTTGTTGTTAAATGTATCGGTGTTCTTAACATGTTTTCAGATTGTACATTCAGTCAATACATCATTGTGTTTGTGTTGAAAATATTTCTCAGATAATTCTGATTTGCGTTGATGGATGGTTATCAATACGGAATGTTATACACATACAAACACAAACATGCCGTATTACATAGCTTAAGGTTGAACAACTTGTAGAATGAGCAAGACACCAGCTGCTGTTTCGAGCATGCTGTTTCTACGAAAGTTTGAAAAAGGGCTATACTAATCTATACGAATCTTGTTCAATACTTAAATGCCTCAGTAAAGCTTTCAGAAGGCTTTGCGGTGGATCTGTGGAAGACTTTTCCAATTTAAGCGCATTAGTGACGAAATTATGTCCGAATGAAATGTGTTATGATTATACTTGACTTTCCTTTGTATGTGTTTGTGACGTGTGCAACCAGTTGGGCAGGATACACGCACCTGTTCCTAAACACCTGGTGTCATCATCATTTGATACTGATTCTTTAAAGCGTGCTCATGATACTGGTGGGGGCGGTGGGGTAGCTTAGTGGTGGAAGCGTTCTCTCGCCACGCCAAAAACCCGGGTTCGATTCCCCACATGGGCACAATGTGTGAAGCCCATTTCTGGTGTCCCCTGCTGTGATATTGATGGAATATTGCTATAAGCGGCGTGAAACTAAACTCACTCACTTACTCACTCATGATACTGGTGGAACCCAGTGTGCTTTAAGCAGAGACTCCTTTTGGCAAGGACTTTGTCGTTTATAGGTCCTACTAGGTAGATGAAACATATGTTATATTTGGGATTACACTTTCTCAGTAAAGTACATATTCTAGTACTTTTGTTGGGCTGTGTCCCATTCGGGATTCGAACCCACAACCTCAGAGTCAGGCACCTAATCGCCAGCACACAAAGCCATCCGCCTAACCCGCTCAGCCACTAGAATCTGTACTTTACTGAGATAGTGTAATCCCAAATATAACATATGTTACATTTGTTAACATCCTCGAAATAAGGAAAAACATGTTCGATTTTTTATTATTTGATCTTGGTAAACCCCTAGATTCAGCTTCCTTAGTTACAAAGTATTATAGTAAAGACTATATTCCTTGTTTGTAGGAAGACATAAGGCTTTTACTGCTTTATGAGTGAGTGACGTTTCACACAAAACAATTTAAAGTCACATCGACAGTAATTGAGGCCTTCGTAACGAAAATAGGCGTCTCAGCCATGTAGCGAATGGCCACAGTTGACGCATACCATGACCATATCAACCTCTTTTAAAGACCGCAGTCAGATACATTCCAGCTATATAGAATTGTCGAGTCCGGACTAGACAATCCATTGATATATATTACGAATAGCGATCCACGGCCAGGACAGCTTCCTAATGCAAGGGAGATAACCGATTTCCAAAGACCAGTTTCAACCTTTGTTCGAACTATGGAGTTATAGTTTGACTGTAGCCAAACGTCTATGCGCAGTTCAAAAAGTCGCGTTACGAATTCGATGTCTGATTTTTAACCAACATAGTGACTGTAGATTTCAATCGGTTGCAGGATTTCTCCACTGTACCATCAACTGGTCGTCGATTAATATTTTCCAAAAAGTTTAATGCCTTATTAAAGTGCTCACATGATCTGATGCACTTCGCTTGGTGTGACCTGTTTCATTATGCTAGAGGTCGCCCCTAAATGAAATAAATGCATGTGACATTATCATAGGTGGAATCTGAATGGTCAGTCGGAAGAACACAGAATGGGCATGACTCACAATAGCCACTAGTGGCGCTACGATCGAAATTCGAAGCTATTTAAGCAAGGGCGGAGATGGGACGTTTACTTACTATTAATTCCTTTGTGTCAAGAAGCCTGACCTCCCGATCAAGATTAGGTCGCCTCAGGCATACAAATGTAGGTTTCTTGGTTCCGTAGCTAAAGGCGATTCCAACGCCCATATACTAAGCAAGGCTTTACGATAGCCGCTGCGTGTTGAACGGAGCCCTAGGGACCTCTTCTAACCAGAAATCCCACGTTGACAACTAAATCCACCAGTATGTCACCTACAGACACATCAACAATCACATGCAGGCCTTATGCAAACGTACAGGGTAATTATGATTTTCAGACTGTACAATTCTGATCCTTTTCTTTCTTTCGCAGTAGGGGCGGTGGGTTGGCCTCGTGGTTAAAGCATTCGCTCAAAGACCCGGGTTCGAATCCCCACATGGGTACAATGTGTGAAGCCCAATACTGCTAAAACGCTCATTAACAGTGGCATCGAGGAGTGGTTGTGGCATGTTTTCATCAATATGGAGGCCATCACGCGCTGGGGGTACCAGAAATGGGCATCCGACAATGTAGCGATGTAACAATCAATTCTGGGTCTCAGAATGGAGGCTCAGTTTTACTTACCAGTCGCCCAATCTTATAACGGTGATCACCACACTGTACTGAATATTGGAGCACTGAGTGTTGAACAATATTATACAGGGTTGGGCGATGGGGTAGCATAGTGGTTAAAGTGTTCGCTCGTCACGCCGAAAAACCGGGTTCGATTCCCTCCATTGGTACAATGTGTGAAGCCCATTTCTGGTGTCCCCCGCCGTGATATTGATGGATTATTGCTAAAAGCGGCGTAAAACTAAACTCACTCACTCACTCATGTGCTGGTGGAATCCAGTCTGCTTTAAGCAGAGACTCCTTTTGGCAAGGACTTTGTCGTTTATAGGTCCTACAAGGTTGATGTAGCATATGTGATATTTGAGATTACACTTTCTCAGAGTCAGGCACCAAATTGCCTAAGCTTGTTGTGTAAGGGACAACACAACCAATGTGTGAAAGCCGCGAGCATGAATATGTTGCTGACCAGCAGAATTTGGGATTTCAAACCATGATAACTCGTATTATTACCCTGAAGATTAAATGGAAGACCTCTGATGGATTGTAGTCAATGTAGCATATGGAACCGTTTCACAGGTGGTATGCATCCATCCTAACTTTCCAGCTTCCAACATCTTCCTACTTTTTTAAGCCTACAAGAGTTATGCCCCTTCGAATATCGATCGGTAGCGTTCGTCTGCCACCACAGGGGCTTGTAAGGCTTAAGGCCAAGGTCGTCAATGGCGAACGGGCACGACACAATTCTCTTTGCGATGAATAATGTACGTAAACTCATAATGACAGTGAGGTGTAAATGTCTCCGAAAGAATGGCGGCTAGCGCGCTGACAGGTGCCATCAGTTCAACATGTTTTGGTGCATGTCGTTTGTGTATACTGTGAAATAAAAAAGAAAATGAGTGAGTTACCGCTCCAAATTCTGAGCAGGGATTTTGGCTCGGAATCGAGAAATCACGATTTATGCTGTATGTCTTTTTTGGTAGGTAAAGCTATGAGCTTGAAATGTGTGCATACTTTAAATGGGATAAGTACAGTGAGCATTGTTGAATTCGCCCTGAACCGAACTTGGTTTGTTGACCTCGTTACATCCCTTTCCTTTTTCTATAGTGCTAAGACCCCGTTAGTGACAGCATATACCTTAAGGCAGTAAGTGCGTCCCATACCGAGGCAGAAATAGAACAGAAACCTTTCATGCATAACTGTGTTATGGCGTTTGCTCCAATTTGGCACCTAAAAGATCTCAAGGGTATTAAATTCGTTTGACGGCGATTTGCCGGGTAGTATGGGATAACATACCAAATGGTCGTGTTACTGACACAGCGCACGTAAGGGAAGCGACTCTGTAATAACGCCAGTCCCAGCTTGATTACATGGGATAAATTACACAAATAGATCACACGGACATTCATGGCACCATGGAGCTACAGGAGTACAACAGAACGAGAATGTAAATATAGCATTTGACAATTTAATAGTTAAGTGGAAAATAAGGAAGTACAAACATAATAACAGAACACAGTGCTTCACAATCGCAACACTTGAAACTATGTTTTTCTCTGTAAGTGAGGATCTCTACTTTAATAATGACAGTATCAGCGTATTATCTATTTAATCAAAGAGAGTAATATTTCCTGTTTTCATCTTATTTATCAATTAGAAAATGATATTTTATCAAGTTATGTTGACCAAATGACGACCAAACGCAGAGCTGGAAACCGTCTCTTATCCCAGTAACGTTGAAACAATATACGTGGAACAGAGAAGAAACGATTGCTTAACATGAAATGATATTCTCACTTACCACCAAACATTTAATTGTACAAATGGATGCCTGTTACACAGCCTCTTTTCGTTTACAATTCACATGTCAGCAGTCGCCTAAAAAGCAAGTGATTATATATCCGCTTCCATCCATCTTTCTATCTATCTATCTATTTGTCTATCTATCTGTCTATCTATGTGTGTATCTATACACGAATGTATGAAGTATGAAGAATATATGAATAGAATATCACCAAGGCAGTGTGATATACTGTCTACAGCAGTTTTACATGTTGTTTTCTCCAACAATTGACACAGCATTTGAAGCACATTATACATCTGCATATTCAATATTTACAAGTATGTCATGGAAAAATTACATTTGTACAAGACATGTTGAAAGTCCATGTTTTCGATTTCACTGACGTTTCTCCGGGTTGCATCAATATCTGTGTTAGACGTCTTCTCTTCTCTCTGACTCGTCAACATGGATGTGTCTTTTAATGTCATAATCTTACATCGATCGTCTCTGATGATAATTCAAGATATTCCACTTAGTCACCTTTACTTTCAAAATTGTTCTGGATCAGTCAAAAGCATTAATGCCCTCTAATATCAATGGGTCCCTTGCAATGGGTCAGATTCCACACCCGCACTAAACTATAACATCAAAATCAAGTTCAGGTTGGTGGCTGTACCCATGTTCATCATTACACATTTCCGTGGTGCTGGAGGTGCCACTGCCCTGTTACACAATCTGTTCCAGATCCAGAACACTGCGGAAAACATCCCATCTTCATACGAAACTGTTCCACACATATTTCCACTGTACTACTATATGCATATACATTCATATCCAGATATATGTACTACACACGGAGCTGTTTGACCACCCAGCTTAATCCGCCATATTGCCATCAATGCTGCAACAT